TACATAGTGAGTTCAGGTCAGCTGGGACTACAGGGAGACTCTGTCTCAAAAAGACAAAAAAACAAAACAAAACAAAAAAAACCCCAAAACACAACAATAACAAAAAAAACATGGTTCTGGGGATCAAACGCAAGTCCTTGGGCAAGCACAGCAATCAATTTATAGACCACTGTTTCTCCGCCCCTAGCTATTTGTTTCTTTGGTTTTTGTTGATAGATAGTTTCATTGTATAACCCAGGCTGGCCTTGACCTTATGGCAGTCCTCCAGTCTCAGGCCACAAAGTGTTGGGATTCTGGGTGTGGCTCAAACTTCGTTTTTCTTTTTCTAAAGTACTGGAGATTGAACCTAGGGCCTTATGCATGCTAGGAAAGTGCTCTACCAGTGAGCTGCGTTCTCAGCCAGCCGTATCTTAAAGCACCCAAAAAAGCCAACATGGTGAAGTGGGCTAAACATAGAACCATCCCTACATCTCTCAACCCTGCCCACTGCGCTGCTGTTCCTGAAATAGCCACACACACCCGCATGCCACAACCTCGCAGCAGGCTGTGCACCAGCAGAGGCCGGAGCCAGTGCCCAGCAGGAGTTGGAACAGGGGAGATGTTTCAGGAGCACAGCAGTTAAACAGGTGACCAGTGGCTTCAAGGAGAATCAAGGGCCTCAAGGAAGCATCTCACCCAGGGCAAGTGACTCCTGGAGGTAGGGACATGAAACGCCAGTCTCCAAGGTCCCCCTGTGATGGGCACTGACCCTAAAACGGGTTCCTCTGCCTGGCACGGGCATGTGACACCCCCTCAAGTCACATGCCACAGAGCACTCGTGGTGAGGACACAACCTCCACACCTGGAGCCAGATGCCCTCAGAACTTCTGTTTATCACATAAAGCCCGGTCACTGGAGGGTGGTCTGTCCCGGTGCCAGGCAAGTGGGCTCCCATCTGCTGAGGCCACTGGTCCACAGGGCCCCATACTTCTTTGTCCCCAGCATCATGGGCTAAGAGGTCCCAGAACCCCCTCTGTGTCTGCAGCCTGTCTGGCCCAGGGGAAGCTGCCATTTCTTCCAAAACAGTCACCCTCAGGTGGGGAGAGAGAACTGGGGGTGTCTCACCAGGCAGAATTTCTCCTGGGAACCCAATGAAAGGAACTCCTGTGGGCCCAAATCCGACACCTCCCATCGGGTGTGACAGACCCAAAGAGATCAGGGGTTCCAGAACCATCTTCCCAGCAATCCCCCATGGAACACCTGCACCATCCTCAGGGATTGTGCTCGGAGACCTGCAGCCCCACAGAAAAGGAGCCATTGGTGGGTGGCTGCTGGGTCAGGATCACGGGTCCCACTGTGCCGCCTCTACTAGGAAGTGGGACACACTGTTTTTCTTCCACTGCTAGACCAGCACCTGGTGTGGCCTCTGGCTGGCTCCAGTCCAGCTCAGATCCACATCCCCTGCCTTCCTTCCCAGGGCACAGGCCACTAACAGCAACAGGCCCTACTGATGGATGAGGAGCAGGTGAGGTCCGTGCAGGTTGGGAGCAGGGTACGGCCCCAGGCCTCCTGGTTCCCTTCTGGAGCTCTCGTGGTCACGCAGGCTTCCTCTAAAGGACAGACCTCAGGGGCTGCCATCCCCACAGCACAGTGACACCCCCAACCGGCTGCACCCCAGTCCCTGGAGAGGAACGCACATAAACCTCGAGGAGACTCCAACCGGGACCAGTCTGGGTCCCACCTTCCTGGGCAGGCACGGGCAGCACTTACCGCGCTGGACTTGAGCTCGTCCCCGGGCTCCTCATCAGACTCCAGGGCCACAGGCAAGGATTTCTGGGGCGGGGAGAAGGTCAAGTCCCAGCGCAGCAGCCGGGGCTCGGGCCGGTCCCCCAGCCGCAGGCTCTCCAGCTTCTGCACCGCGGGCTCGGAAGCGGAGGCCGGCCTGAAGTTCTCCTTGGCCTGGGGCTTGGACCTCAGTCTCTGCAGCCCGAAGCCCCGGTCCTCGCAGCGCCGCTCGGCCGCTGCACCCCGGCTGTGCCGCCGGCGCTGGGGGTGCGCGTCCTGCGGGCAGGCGTCCATCCTCAGCAGGGGCTTCATCTCCAGCTTGTAGTTGCTCAGCTGCTCCTCGTCCGGCTCGGGCAGCTTGGGGCCCCCGGAGCAGGGATTGGCAGCTCGGTGGTGGGAAGTCCACGAGAACGCGCTGGGGGACTCCGTCCGCCGCTCCCGGGGCTTGGGGTTCCCAGGCTGCCGGTGGCCCGCGCCCCGAGCGCGCAAGTCCTCCGTGTGCTGGGCGCTGCGCACCGCCCCGCTGCGCACGCCCCGGGGGCCCCCGGCCTGCTCCTCGCCCCAGCTGTTCCGGGCGTAGTCCCCTCCGCGGCCCTCCAGGAGCATCTGGATGTCCCCGCGCTCCTCGTCCACCGACACCTGCCGGGAGAAGTGCGCCGTCTTGTTCCTGGAGGCCGGCGGAGGGGTGGCAGAGGGGCTGGCGGGGAAGCTCTGCAGGGGGCTGTCGTCGGGGGTCAGGTCGGAGGGGGTGGTGCCCTTGCGGTACAGCTCGGGGCTCTCCTGCTGCAGGGGTGTCCCGGTGGAGAGCACCTCGATGTCATCGCAGGAAATCTGGTGCTTCGGCCTCTGGTACTCGAGCCCTTGGGAGACAGGAGCGCACGGGGGTTACATGGAGCTCACCACAGGGAGGCCTTGGGGCCACTGTGCACGGGGCCACTGTGGACTGGGCTAGCTGGCCTCCTATGAGGTCCCAAAGCTGAGCAGCAGCATGGCAGGGTCACCAATCCCTCCCTGCCCAGGACTCCAGGCCCGGGGACTGAGAAGCACCTTGGCTTGTGCCATCTCCAGGCCAGCAAGGTCCAGGACTGGGAGCCTCACCCCACCCTGAGAAGGCTGTTGGAGCTTTAAGGCCTAGTAAGAGGCCCCTGATCACCAAGACTCACAGAGAATACCAGGGAGGAAGGGGGACCTTGCACAGTCAGGGACTCTGGAAAGGAGGGTCGGCCCTGCAGCCAGCAGGCAACTTCCACATCTAGAGGTGACTGTCCCAGTGACCCCTGACCCCAAGGCCCAGACAGGGAGAGATGACAGGGCAGGACCAGCTTTTGAGAGGAGAGGGGAGCTCCAGTGTCTGAAGCTGGGCTTCCCACCTGGTTAGATTTTTACCCTTCTAGAAAAAGGAAACATGGCATTCCTCGTCCTCTCACAGTGGCGGTTAGAACGGCCTTTCAGCAGAGTCCCAAGCTCAGCAGAGGCCCCTGTCTGCACTGGTCAGCCTGGCTCAGAGGCTGGGAAAGCCTGGGCTGCCTCAGGGACACAGAGGACGCCCAGCTGTGCTCTCGTTGTGTCCTCAGGTGTCTAGCAAAGAGGATGAGGAGACATGGCTCCACCAATGGCCCAGCACGGTCCAGGCCCTTTGTGGAGAGATGTTCACCCTACAGATTGGTGATGCATCAGGCAAGGCTGTGGTTCCCTGGTCCCAGGTCCCTCCTGCCACACTGTCCCCCTTGGAAGGATCATGATCAGAGACCCTACCATCTGCCCTTCACTGGATGGACACCAGGGACCTGGAAAGGCAGGACATGAGTGCAGGTGGTCCTGTGGCCTTCCCCTGCCCAGAGACCCGCAGGGAGGCTGGTGCCTGTCTGCCAGCAGCACCGAGGTCATTCTCAGCTAAAATTATCTGCAGAGCACGTGCCACCCCTGGAAAATCATTGTGAAGATCGACGGGGAGCCTGGGCATCTGCAGCTCAACCCAGTGCCTTCATCCCTGCTTTGAGAACTACGTAAATGGCTACACAGTCCTCTCACCTCCCAGGCTCTATAGATGGGGTACCAGCTGGAGTGCCTTGGGCACTGCCCTGGCAGGGCTGTGTCCCCTGCCCTCAGTCCTATGGCCCCAGACAGTCCTGAGCACCCCAAGAACTCAGACACGCTGGCTACCTGGCGCTTCCCAGGCAGCCCACGGGGAGGTGGACTTTCTGCCTCTAGCCCCAATGCTTCAGTAAGTTTTCAGAAGTGTGTGCTGGGCTCAGGAGGCAGGTTTCATTATGAACCTCAGTTCTTCCACATTCTTGCCAAGACCTTGGACAGCCAACCGTCCTTGAGAGTCTCAGCTTTGAAAGAGGACAGCGGCTGCTGGTCGTGAGCACCCAGGGAGGGGATGCTTAGCACCCATCCCCTTCCAGCATGGCTCCATGGTCTCATTGACCTCAAATGCATTCTAGGAAATGCCCAGATGTGGGAAGAGGAATCCGGAGGGGATCCAGACCACGCAACACTAGCAGAATTCATCGGAGGAGATGCTGTAGAGGTGAGGCTGTGGGCAGCTTTCCGGGAAACAGACATGGCCAGAGACCACGGTGAGCAACAGGCAGGGAGGGGCCATGGTCTGGACCCATCCTGGTGAGGGGGCAGCCTGGTCTGAGGCCCCACAGCCCTCGCAGGCCTCCATCATAGAGACGTGTGTCAAGGAAGCAATTCTGAACAGAAAACAGGGCAGCACTGGCCAGTCAGTTAGACACCTCTGCCAGACCCCCGAGGCTGCAGGAGCCACGCTGAGGTCCTTGGGCCAGGCGACACGGCTGATCTCTCAGCATGTGGTACTCAGAGGTCCAAAGTCCAGCTGTGGGCAGGGCTGGCTTGGAGGTGATGGCCTTCCTGGAGTGTGGCTATTTCATACCCCCCACCCCGGACTTTTCTGCGCAGTGTTCTAAGGACCCTGATGTGGGACGCTGGGTTCAGTCTTGCTCCAGATCCTGTGCCATGTATGGCCTCCTGCCGGGTAGCTAGACTAGGAGCCTCATGCTTGGTGGACAGATGTCCTGGTCACCAGTCAGTATATGAGATGGCACTGAGCCCCTCTTTTCCTTTACCTCTAGTGTTTCTAGAGGTAGTGTGGCAGGTCCCCCGGAGGGCATCAGCCAGTGGTGTGTAGGGCTGGAACTTGGGGACCCACCTTCTACAAGTGGCTTGCCTGGCAGGGGCTTGGTCAGATGTCCAGTGTCCCAGCTCAGACGAAAGCCACTTCTGAGTCTGACCAGTAAAGACCTGGGCTTTGTCTTTCTGGCTTTCTCTCTAGATTGGAAGCAAGGGCCCCTCACTGGATGGTGCTGGTGACCACTGCATGGGTGGGATGCCAGAGCCCAGAGGGAGCAGACAGTGACTGTTTTGATTTGCTGACCCAGCTTGGCCTACCACTGGCCGCTTCTCAGGAGGCCTGCTCCAGAGACCCCTTCAGGGTGGTGCTGTGAGAGCCTGAGCCAAGATTAAGCAAAAATAAAGCTGGGCAGGCGGGTGGCTCACACCTTTAATCCCAGCACTCAGGAGGCTGAAGCCAGTCTGGGCCACAGAGTGGGCTCCAGATTTTGGGGGACTACAGAATGACATCCTGTCTCAAGAAACAAACAACAGAGTATTAAATAACTATAGACTCGGCTCCCCAGTGGCCATTGCACCCTCAAGGCTGCCATGCTGGAGGGAGTGGCAGAGTTACCACCATCTCCATCAGACAGTTCTAGAACGCCGGTGGAAGGCAGCACCCACACACAGAGCAGGTGGGAGCAGACACTGATGCCCACCCGTGACCACAGAACCGCATCCATAGCACCGAGCCCACAGCACCCACCCACACTTGTTTCTGGGAGGCACGTGTTGGGGCCTGGCTCAGGCAGCTTCAGGGAGGGAGGTGGTCGCTGGTAAGGTGTCAGCTCTGGGTGAGGACCCAGCTGAGCCTCCACTCCACCCCCACTCCCCACCCCCACCCCCGTTGGTCCCTGGGAGCCTCATCTGACACACAGACACAGCCCTGCCACCCGCCCCCCCCCCGAGCCCCGCCCAACGAGGCCCCGCCCCCCAGTCCCCCCATCAAGGCTCCGCCCACCCAAGGCCCCACAAGCACCGCCCCAGAGCCCCATCCATCAAGGCCCCGCCCCACAGCCCTGCCACCCGCCCCGCCCCAGAGCCCCGCCCATCGAGGCCTCGCACCCAAGTCCCCCCATCAAGGCTCCGCCCACCAAAGGCCCATCAAGACCTGCCCCAGAGCCCCATCCATCAAGGCCCCGCCCACCGAGGCCCCGCCCACCGAGGCCCTGCCCCAGGACTCACCGTTTTCCCTGTGCTGGAAGGTAGGTGAGAACTCTTTGGCAGTGATCCTGGCGATCCTAGCTTCCTCCTGGGCTTTCTGAGCCGCCGTGAGAGCTGCCTCAGCCTTGGCCCGTGAGTGGGAGGTCCTGGGGGGTGGGGAGACAGACAGAGGGGTGAGCCTGGGGCTGGGCCGGAGCGAACCCTCCCAGTGACACCCGGGTGTTGCCCTCAGACCTTGTTGGCTCATTTATTCACTCAACAAACATCAACCTCTGCCAGTGCATCAGCCTCTGGAGAACTTGTTTTTTAAAGATTTTATTTTTATTTATGTGCATGTGTGTCTGTGGTGTCTGCTATGGGTGTGAGTGTCCTCAGAGGCATCAGAGCACTTGGAGCTGGAGTTACAGGTGGTTGTAAGCCACCCAATGTGGGTGCTGGGAACCGAACTTGTGTCCCCTGGCAGAGCAGCAAGCTCTCTTTTAACTGCTGAGCCATCGCTCCAGTCCCAGAACATGTATACCATCAACATGAGTCCAGGCTGGGTGATCCACGCCCCAATGTGAGCCCCCGCCCTCCTGCCAGCCACCAGGCAGCTCGGAGGGCCCTGGGTGTTGGGGAAGGACACCAGGACACTGAATGTGGATGGGTGGGCAGGGCAGCTCCAGCCACCTGCATATCTGCCTCCAGCTCTGCTCGGGCTGGGTCTATGAAGCTGTCCCCTGGGACACCCTGCCCTTGTAAGAGCAGAGACTGGCCAGGGGTCCAGGACAGGGAGATAGCCCTCATCCATCCCTCCTGCACGCCAGGCCCCACCAGGCATGGATACCATCTTGCCAACACCCAGTCCCAGTCCCTGAGACAACACAACACCCTGGCTCTCTAGGCAGGTCCCCTGTCCATGGTCCCAGGCAACAGCCTCACCAAGCACTTACTGCCACAGAGACTTCTTTCTCCCAGGTCTGAGGTTGGAAGTCCAAAGTCAGATTGCCATCTGGGGAACACCCACTTCTTGTCCACAGATGGCCCCTCCTCCCTAACTAAGTTCCTAAGTAGAGGGGGAGCAGGCTGTTCTGCGGCCTCCTCAAGGGAGCTGATCCCGTTCTGGAGGGCTGCACCACAATACTTCATTCTCTCCCAAAGGCTGGCTCCCAGCCCATGGCGGACTGAATTTCAACATATGGTTCTCAGGGACACAGTCCTTGCTCGGGAGCCTGGTTCCCATATCCCACAGCGCCTGTGACTTGGAATTCCTAGGCTAGCCCCCCCAAATCCTCAAGCTGCCTATAAGCCTTGAGCTTTATTTTTCAAATAATTTTATTAGACATGCCTGAGACCTCCACCCAGGTATGGGGGTGGAAAGCCAAGACATGAGTGTGTGCCCTGGAAGGGATGCAGGCTGTGGGGATCTGTCTAGCCTCCAGGTTCCCCTCTAATGCCATTCCCCAGGCATCCTGACCTCTGCTAGGCACCAGGGAGCCAGCCTCACAAAGTTAAGAAAAACCCACGTGCTGAAAATTCTCTCTCTCAGAATTTTAGCTCCTAAAATTGGGGAAAGGCAATCAGCTCTCAACACAAACAGTAGCGCTTAAGATGGGAACCACACCTTCTAGAAGAGTCCTTGGGGATCTGGTCTTTGTCACGACAACAGACTATAGGCAGGGGGTCAGGAAGTCATGAAGATGGACCCACTAATACCGCACTAATTGATACCTGATTTCTTTTTCTTTTTTTTCTTTTTGTCTTTTTGAGACAGGGTATCTCTGTAGCCCCAGCTGTCCTGGAACTCACCATGTAGACCAGGCTAGGCTTGAACTCACAGAGCTCCGCCTGCCTCTGCCTCCTGAGTGCTGGGATTGATACCTGATTTCTTCCTGACAGTAGACCAGTTAATGAGTAATGGCAACAGGCCTCATGTTTCTATTGCAGGAACCGCCTGGGGGACCTGGGAGGGTGCTGCTCCCCCAGCTAGGACGCCCTTCTATCCTGCTCAGTGTCTCCTCTGCTGACTCCACAGTGGGACCCCAGTGGAGTGACGGCAGCAGAGCACCCCAGTGTGGCTCAGTGGCACCCGAACGTGACCTTTATGAGAGTCTGCAGGACCCTGGAAACTGCCCCATATCTCTCCTGGGGGTCTGCACTGTCCCAGAGCTGTGGATGCTGAAGCTGAACTTGCATTCCTGACAGACAGGTGGAGCTCCCTGAGGAAGAGGGAAGAAGGACCCCCAGCTGGGGTGCTGCGTTCACTCTGCACAGATGCAGCTCCCGTGGCCATGGGTCAGGTTTTGTCTGGGAATATTTTATTGAGCTTGCGGCTTCATTCACCCCATCCAGGTCTACAATGCTGTTCTGGGGACAGTCATGGCAGTCGGCCTGAACTGCAGTCAGCTTTGGGTCAGCAGCCACCCAAGCCTCTGTCAGCACCCCAGCCGTGGCTGCGCCAGCCTGCCGTGTCTTGAGAACCCCACTTACTATAGATACATCATGACCCACTGATTTTTTTTAAGGTTTGGTTTTTCCCTTTTCCCACCGTGGTGAAATTCACACCATGCAGTTACACAGCATTTGGAAGGCTCACATGTACAAACACTTCGTCCCAGAGGCTCTGCCCCACTCCAGGGAGACCCTTCGCCCTCAGCTGCCCCATGGAACCCTGGGTTCTGAGCAGCGAATCACTGGGTCCACCCCCTCCCACCATCACCAGATCATACTGGACTCGGCCGCTGTGTGAAGTTTTTCGGGGGTCAGAGGTCGGGGTGGTTCCTGGCCACAGCTGCTCAAGAGCTGGACGTGGCACCAACAGCCCTGGGATCTGACTCACGTACTCTGACACACTGGGCATTTAGTCAGTAAATGTACCCTCAAGCAACCCAGACAGGGTATCCCTAGAGTCCTCGGACCAGAGGATGTCAATGGTCGCCCACAGAGCTCCTAAGCTCCTCGTCCACAAGGCCTGGGACACAGACACAGATCGCTCACAGTGGTGACAAATCTTGAGAAATCAGCCAATGGAGTCGGGGTCCTGGGGCTGCTAGACAGGAGGGGGTTTCCCATACCCAGCTTAGTGGTCTGGTGCCTGTCGCAAGAGCAGAGTCCCTCATCCCTTTGCATCCTACACAGGAGCCAAGGTGACTGACATAGGAACAAATGGAAGTCAATCCAGGTCACAAGGACAGGAGGGAATGGCAACTAGAGATGAATGCCTGGAGGGTCTGAGTCACTTGTGCTCTGAGCTCCCTGGAAGCCAAGGCAAAGAGAGAAACTCCCCCAGTGGTCCGCAGTGTGATTTGGAAAAGGTGAAACCTGTGGCTCTGGAAAGGAGGGCAGCTCTGGCCCTGAAACTCAAGGTCCCTCTCATGTCCGCAGCGTTCCTGGGGTAACTCCTGTCCTGCAGGCTGCTGGGGCCAACCTCGTCTGAGTGTAACATTGAATGGGGCCCAGTGATGCTCAACTGAATCCAGACGTCTGGGTGGAAAGGTTCAAGGCCATCTCCCCTGAAAAGAAGGCAGCATGCTCCCTGCAGAGGCTGAGTCTTGATGCTCCTGACAGTTACCACGAACAGGTAAATGCTGAGCCCAACTGGGACTGACACAGGAGAAGAGGCCCGATCACTCCAAAGAGGCAGCTGGCACCAACATGGCCGAACAGAGGTCCAGACGGTCCAGACTGAGAAGTTAGGCAGAGGGACAAACTGCCAGGTGAAGGATGGGGTGGTTGTCGAGGAGTGAACAGTTCACCAAGGTCACAGCCAGGCAAAGTCTACCAGGCCGGACACGGCTCCTCCTGAGGGGACCATTGGACAAGAATGCCCGTGGGAGAAGTCATCAGGAAGGAAACATGACTAGGGGTCGTGGTTCCTAGGCAACCCCCAGGGAGTCAGGCCCTGGGCAGAGCATCTGATCCAGTTCCTAAGGCTGAGGCCCCATTAGACCGCACGAGCTGGGTGCCACCCCCTAACGGCCACCTGATGTTGGGCAAAGCAGGGTTGTCCGGCTCCAGACCCAATGGTCTGAAGTCGACCTCATCCCACAGATACCGTCCAGAACCAATGTGGCAGCAGATACGGCCCTTGTGTTTTCAGGAGCATCGTGCCTGCTATGCAAGTCCCTGGAGAGAGCAAGGCCTTGTCCACCCTCCGGGAAGCCCCACACAAGGCCTTGTCCACCCCTCCGGGAAGCCCCACACGTGGCAGGAGGGTTGTCAGGAAAGCCCGTCAGGGCCCCCAACTGGTTCCCACGTCTTTGGTTAGTAAAAATACCATTAATTCACCAACATCGTGTGCATATTTACATAAGTATGTCACACGTATATAAAAAGAGTATACGTGCCAACCTTAAAATAAAACAAATCAAGACAAGAGCATTGGGTAGAGGAAAGAGCTCCCCAACACATGGCAAAGGTTCATTTAAATAAAACTTTGAGCCGGTTCTCTGAGGAACAGTAGCCTCCAAAGGAGGGTCTAGCCAGCTCCAGCTCACACCTGAGGGGTTGGGTTTCAGTGTCCTGGGTGGGATACTCTTGGCCTACAAGGGGCCTCCTGTAGGGTACTGTGCATGGTCCCACTGCTTGGGTGCTGTGCACGCAGATACTGTCCTAGTCTAGCAGGCCCTACACCCTCACCTTTGGCTCAGGCACCTAGGGAGGGAGGGCTACATGAAAGCCCAGAGCAGCTGACAGACAGCTGACTTCCACAGCCTAGGGTTCAGGGACCTGTTCTGGAGACGGGGAGCCAAGATACATGGCACTCGACCTTCAGAACCCAGGCAGGGCCAGTCACCCTACAGGTGGAGCTGGTGCCTGGAAGCTTCCTGAGGGGCCTGGGAGGATGACTGGCCAGAGAAGCCAGGGCAGAGGAGCAGCCAGCAGGTGACGCGGAACTCATGCCATTAAAATAATATAAAAAACTGGAAGGGCTGGTGTGCCGGATAGCTTTAGTGTCAACTTGACACACCTGGGTGGAGGGAGCCTCAATTGGGGGATTGCCTCTATTGGACTGGCCTGTGGCCATGTCTGAGGGGCATCTTCTTGATGAGTGATGTGGGAGGGCCCGGCCCACTGTGGGTGCCACCCCTGGGCAGGTGGGCCTGTGTTGCATAAGAAAGCAGGCTGAGCAGGGGCCAGAGGAGCAAGCCAGTAAGCAGTGATCCTC